AGCATTTCTGTAAGACCCAAACACGTTAGGGATTTCTGGTGGGAAGAGGCAATGTTTAGGCATCATCTAAGGTTCCTCTGAAACGTTGTTTACACCCGTATTTACTGCTCCTAGAATAATGCTGCAACAGCTTGTGAGAGATTGCCCCTTTGGATTTGGTTCTATCTTGATATCTCACCACAGGGGAACAGTTAAGTAAATGAAAGCCTGGTCACTTTCTGATGTATTATATAGTCATTAAACATGGAAGAATATGAAAAACACAGAGGGAAAAAAACACTACATGGAAAAACAGAAGACTGGTTGCCAGGTTATGAGCTTAGGTGTGCGGTGGAACACCTGGACAGAATAAGTACAGGTGAACAGTCATGATCAGGACTGTAAGTAACCAGCTTCCTTTCCCTACACCTTCATGTCTACTTAAGAACACACATGGTAGAGCATGCACTCAGTGCTTACTGTTCAAACTTCTACAGAATGCCCTGAGTGACTATCAGCAAGACACCTTAACCACCAACACAGCCTTTCCATAGTTACTGTCAGCCTCTGGGCTACAGGACACCCCAGCTTCCAAACTCAGCTTCTGTGGAGCAAACTGTCACTCTACAGCTCTGACACCTGCCTCCTTCTCTGCTCCACCTCACCCTACTCTTTTTCCTTCACTACGATAAGCCTCTGCCAAACTCAGCCACCAACAACCATCAGAAACCCTGATCAGATATATTTCCAACCCAGACCTTCCCTCTGCACTATAAACATTTAGTCAATGACCTGCTACAGAATGTCCAACCAGTGGCTGTGACAAAGCAAACCTACTTGGCAATGTTCTATGACATACACTAGCACATTTAAGAGGACAGGGTGTCTGGAAGGAAAAACACAAATCCCAGGAACCTACTACCACACAAGGGAATGGCATGGCTTCAACGCTACCTGAAAGAATGATACAAGAATTCTGTTTCTCCACCCTTGTCCACTGATTCTAAAATATGTATTGCTTGTCCAGACCCAAATATCCAGCATGGATAAAGACAATTCTTCTGAGTTAACAGTGTCTCCTAGCACATCCAGATGCATGTTTGCCACAGGACTTCCCGATATGCAACTTGGTGCCCGAAGTGGCCTCACCAGCAGAACCAGACCAGAGCTGTGGCCCACAGCAAAATGGTAGAGTTATAAAGGAGCCGGCTTGGAGAACACAGCATGATCTGAAAAACTGTAAATCAGTTGAGCCTATGAGTCAAGGTTAAGAGGCTGCAACAGAGACCCTGGAGGACCAGCCCAGTAATGGTGCTGCTGACCCACCCACCAGCCAGGAACTGGCCACAGCCCATGTCTACCTGATGCTCACTGTTCTGCCAGCAGCCTGGAGTTCCTCAAGGGCAATGTGAAAACAAGCAGGGACACCAAGTGTCAGGGAATGAATAACAGAAAATGCACCCCTCATTCTAGAAGTCGTGATCCTGAGAAAACCATTAACTCCCTCCCACAAAAGAGCAAAACAACATCCGCCAATACCAGACTCCACAGGACTCACAAATTCTACTTATGAGTGGAGGAAACTGAGAGAACCCCGGGCACTGACACCAGTAAGGGGAGAAACAGAATAACGGATGAAATGGGAAAAAGTTTTCAAACACAGGGACTGAGCTTCAATGTGCCAGGTGACGGCCCTACCTCTGATGAACAAGCTCCATGTCCATTTCCTGCTAACACCTTCCTTAGCCCCTTCCCATTCTATCATACCAGCAACACATTTTCGTTTTCTAAAATAAAATGCCCACATCAAGAAATAAAATCCTTTTGAGTGCTAGATACCAGCACAACAGGGAAAGATATGAGGAAATTCTTAGTTCAGAAGTAAGCAAAAAAATTCACGTGTAAATGAAAAGCTACACCAAGACACTGGCACAAAATTCCCAGATTACCTGCAAGCCGTGCTCCCCGGCGTCATATTTGTTGTCACCGTCTAGTTGTTCTACTGCCACATAATCCACAAATGATTCAAATACTTTAAAGAGAGAAAGAGAAAGGTCAGCTGAAGTTATCAGTAAAGCTTCCATTATAATAAAGCCAACTCAAGTACATTTAGGAATGCCAGGGAAGGGAATGTCAGTAACTGGCCTTGAGTGGTAACTCTCAGCCTCCAACACAGACCAGTTAAATGTGCCCTTCACACCTTCACCAATCTAACCAAGGTGAAAACCTTAAGGAGACTGACATGGTTTCCTGAAGGTCTTACAAATGGTAACCGGCAGTAAATAAATAGAAAAGATTAAAAAATAACAAGTAAGAGAGTATCTTACGATTTCAGGGCAGGGGTTCTTAGGACACAAAAAGCAAAGATGGATACACTGGGGATCACTAAAATTATCAGATTCTGTGAAACAAATGCCAACATTAGAAGAGTGAAAAGGTAAGCACAGGATGATCTCAGTCTGGGGGGATGATCTCAGTAACTTCACCAAGAATTAGCATCCACAGCACAGGAAGAACTCCTGCCGTAGTGGTGAAAGAAGAACAGGAACTGGCCTATTCTCCTGCACCGAACAAGTGAAACACTGGACTCTGTGGAAAACAACAGAGTTCACGCTCTGGACCACAGGCAGTGAAAGTGGTGGTCCCAGAGACAGCCTGTCGAGTGTCCTGGCTACTGTGTACTTTCCAGGCCACAGCACAGCAAAGAGAAACCCAAACAGGGCCGGCCGTCCCAGAGACAACAAGGGGCCCAAGGCAGCTCCAATCTGTAGGACAGAGTGCCCAAGAACAGAAAGTTGCACAGGAAGAGAGTTACAGAGACTTGCAGGGGGTTCTCCTGGAGCCTTCTGTGACTGCTAATCACATCAGTACAGTGAGGAAATCATCTGGGGCTGGAGAAAGAAGCATCGCAAGGATTGGGGAACAGCCCCCGGCACTCCTACAGCCTGGGACTAGTGGGTGTTCCCTCCCGCCATAGTGGAAAAGCCTCCTAAGTCAGGCACATCAGGCTCAAAACTCAGAAAGCTGTGGCCTCAGTTATGGGCACAAATTAGCTCTCAACTAGAAACTGTTGCACTCCCACAAACTGTTATAAAACCCCACACAAAACTTAACAAAGCGAGCTTTGAAAAATACAAATCATTGCCAGGTAACTTAGCTGTGTCCCAGAACAAAGGATAAGAATATTCGACACCCAACAAGAATACACTCACAATGGCCGGCATCTAATAACACATTACCAGACACAGAATGAGGCTGGAAAATACAGCCCATGGTAAAGACAAAGATGACTCAACAGAAGCAGACCCAGAAGTCACCGAGGTGACAGTTTGTAGACAAGGACACTAAGTTAGTATTAACTGTATTGCATTATGGTCAGGCAGTACCCAAACTGCCAGTAAGCACATGAAAAGGTGCTTATGATCAGGGAAGTATAACTTAAAACCAAGATAGCACCATATTCCCGCCAAAACGTCTAGTCTGGCAACTGACAGCTCTCACACAGTGCTGGGCAGGAGGGCTGTGTGAAGCTGATAAGGTTCACACTGTGGGAAACTTGCTGGCTTTACCTATTAACTTGAACATCTGTTGTCCCCTGTAAGCCAGCCATCCCACTCACCATAAATGCAAATATATGTGCACAAGAAAGAAAAAAAACAAGGTAGACAAGGGGCTCATGCCTACAGCCTCACACTATAAACAGTAGACAGTCCCAAAACTCTTGCAGTATGTCTGCAAGGTGAAATACTATAATCAATAAAAGTAACTAAATTATTGTTACTTGAAACATGGATGAAATTCCACAGACAGTATACTGAGCAAAGTAAATGAGAAACACTATAACCTACATAAGTATTTTCCACATGTAAATAATAACCTATAACAGGACATTAGAATCCCAAACAGTGGTCTCCTCTGAGGAGGACGTAGTGATGGGGAAGGACTGAGACAGGGCTGGGTGAGCCAGCAAAGTTCTGTTTCTTGACCTGCCTCTCCACTCTGTGAGCTGTGTACTCATCATTTGGCAGTTTTCTCTCTACGCGCAAGCTTAATCAGGAGCACTTGCGTGAGTAAAGCACTGAATCACAACTAAATGATCAGATGGTCAGCAGGCAACTGTGTGCATAGAACTTACTGTTTTTCTTTCCTTTTATGCTCAGCTGGATATCATAATAATCTTCTCTTCTATCAGATCGATAGTCCACCTCTTTACACTGGATATAGGACTGCAAACGAGGGAAAGATGGCACAAGCATTATTAATCAGCAGAATGTACACATTTCAAAATCTTTTAAAATTATCCTTTTAAAGTGATAATTATTAGAGGAACAAGTATAAAGGATACAGGGACAATAACTAAGGGGGTGGAAATGGGAGGGAGGTGGGGATCACGGGGCGGGTGGGCTGGGATTCGAGAAATAGAATACTGTACTTGAAAAATAACTAAATAAAATTTTAAAAAATAAAGTGATAATCACATACCACCATTTTGCCTCGGAATAACTTAGGTATGGTGCCTTCTACACATGTGCCTTTCATCTTATTTTCCACGTTATCAAGCAACTGGAAGAGAAAGTTTGGGCTTTAAGAGAATGTTATGCTTAATCAACATACAGTAATTTGCAATGTGACTAGGAAATTGCAAATGGTCCAAGACATTCTAAGACTATAAATAGTATGACCTTTGGCATGCAATTATCAAAAACATACAAAATCTTCTTTCTTGGTTGGATGGTTACAAAAATATCTACATGCAACAGTTGAGATTAACCCTCTAAACAGCCTCCGGAATGAATTAGTAATCTGTAGTGCCTTTAGAAGCATTTTTTATATTCATTTTACCTCTGTGGAAAAGCATGTAAATTGAGCACTAAACTTAACTCGTATTGGTCCACACCAAGAGATTAATGAGGTTGAGCCTGTCAACAGGATTGACTGGTTTGTCCATGGGTATTTAATGAACTGGATTCAATCCAGCTAGTGCTGCAAAAAAGAAAACACACCTTGCCCAGCCAATCACCTTGAATAGCCATTTCATGTTTTGTGTGTGTGTTTGTGCATCTTTCATCACAACTGAAAGAATGGGAATTTGCTAGTGACTAAAGCTGGTTTTGGGGAGAATCACTCACACAGAGGTCTGCCTCAACCACAAGTTCTGTGCAAAGAAGGGGTCTGGATGCTGCAGGGTAATAACAGAAATCACTCTTGCAAACTGAAGCCGGGGAGTCAGAACAGCTACTCCAGCCCATAACAACTCAAGTAGATATTCCAATTAACACATTATCCCACTACAATATTTAAATTCAAGTTTCCCCTCTCAAATATTTTTTTCATTCTTTCTGGATTTTAAACTATATAACTGCTGCTTTTTTCCTTCTAACCTAGTTTTGGGCCCAAACAAACATGGGCTTATCGAAATTATGGTGATATGGAGTATGCCTCAGGTATTACTTGATAACAACCTCTGATAGTGCTTCAAAATATTAAATGTCAGTAATATGTAATTATAGCTGAAAACTTACCACGCGGCATAGCTCTTGAACATCATGTTGCATGAAGCTATCTAAAGTTTCCCACCTTGGAAAGATAAAGTGAACACTTATATATATCAAAACATCCAAATTTCCAATAAATGTATTCTAACTAGTAGCACAGATCCAAAAACTACACTCCACTATCAGTCATTATTCTTAAATTGCTTTTCCTAGAAGATGATTTTGGGAATTATGATTCCAAAATAAACTGTTTTATCAGGACACCCAAATACTAACATTATCTTGTTCTAAGCAACTTACTACAAGGGGTGGGTGTTTTTGCAAGTCAATATATGAAGGTTGACCAAACAGAATTAGAATTTATTTTTTTAAAAATTGTGTAATTATTCCTACATATTTAAACTTCAGTCACCTTCAAAATAGTCTCCATTGGATTCAATACACCTATCAAGACATTATTTCCACTGCTCTAAACAGTTTTGGGGCATGTTAGTTCTGATGCCTTTTAGGGATTCTTCCACTTTTTATTTTCACCTCTTCTACATGATTAAGACATTTCCTTTTGTGGCGTTTTTTCATCCGTGGAAACAAAAAAACTTGCTTGGGGCAACATCAGGTGCATAGGAACGTTGTAGCATGGGATGCTTTTTTTGGTCAAAAAATGCCAAACATTCAGCATGGTATCAGCAGGTGCACTCATAAATCGCCCATCATCAAAAGGGCAAACGTGTTGACAGTCTTCAACAAACATTTTCTGAAGCTGAATATAACCTCTCACAACAAGTCCAGATGGTACATGGATGCAGATGAGTTCCTAGAATACTCACTTACTGGGGGAAGCCTGTATTACACAGGAACCAGTCTCCAGCAAATAATTCTAGGGTTTGTTTTGGGTTCCCCCTCATACATTTGTTTAAAACTTTATATGCTGTTCACCTTAAAAGGTAAACCTTGACAGGTAAAGCCTTAAGTAGTATTTATTTCTCAAAAAAAAATTCTAAAAGGGGGCTGCTCTTTCCAAAGTGGTCAAATAAAATACAATGATAAATACACTCTAACATAATTAAATGCCTACACAGTGACTACAATTCTTCTTTCACCTCATTCATCCTTAAAGGAGCAGCAGAAGGAAAGGTAGATTTCCAATACATACCCAAATGATTTTGTTAGCTTTTTTGTCCCTACAGGCTTATCGCTGTGCTGTAGTTCATAGAATACTCTCTGCAATGCTAAAGGGACACTTTTGGATGAGTCATCACCCTCTGTTGGCATCATGTAAACGGCCTAAAAGGATTAAGAAATAAAAATGAAATTTGACATGAAAGTATCATTTCTAATATCACAATGGCTATCGTGCTTTAATAAAGCTTTTAATTATGCCCTACATAGGTCAGAAAGTTTTCTTTTTACACTTGAAATCATAAAAGTCTTTAGAATCAGTCTAGAAAGTACAAGGCAGCAAAAAATAATAATTTTTTTTTCTATTACCTATAGCTCACCATCCAAAGACAACCACTTTCATTTCAGACTTCTCAGAGCAACACTTTAAAACAACATTACTTATAAACAGAAGAGTTAATGGAACAAATGCTACTGACATTACCCACATTCAGCTATCCCCGGGATACGTCCTACCACAGTAACTCACCAGAAGAACAGTGAAAACAAGAAAGCAAAGCAGCAGACCAGCCAGCGCTGCCCCACAACCAGGAGTCCGTGTTGCCTGCACTGCTCCATGCTGCTCACATGACTTCCTAAAGTACAGATGGCTGGCTCACCTGTATTACATTCTCGGGAAGTCTATTCTGGTTTAAACAGTCTTACAAAAATAAACTTTTTCACCATGGTTGGTGTGGCTCAGTGGATTGAGTGCCAGCCTGTACATCAAAAGGTCGCTGGTTCCATTCCCAGTCAGGGCACGTTCCTGGGTTGTGGGCCCGGTCCCCAGTAGGGGGTGCTCTAGAGGCAACCACACACTGACGTTTCTCTCCCTTTCTCCCTCCCTTCCTCTCTGTCTAAAAATAAATCAAAATATTTTTTTAAATCAATAAATTTTGTCTATAATATGTAAAAACTACATTTTGCAGCTAGTTTTCCAACTGATCAATTTTTCATATAAAACTTTTTCAAATGTTGTTCATGGCTTTCATATTGAAAAAATACCCATGTCACTTCTAGCTTAGGTTAGGATCATTAGCTGTAGTGAACTCTTGACTACCCCAGTTAGCTTTAAGTGTCCAAACACTGAGGACTAAAGATAGGCGCAAGCATAAAATAGGGGCCTCTCTGGAGACAGCACTGTAGTAGGAGAAGACGAGGCAAAGTTTGGCAAGAGGACTTTACTTGTCCCTTAATACTTGAGAAAAAAGGGTGGGTGGAAGATTGAGGACAGAAATACCATCCATTTACCTTTCGTAGTTGATTTGTGAAAAATAAAGTCTGCAGCAGGCTGTTCATGTAACAGGTCGCTCCCTGATTCTTCAAACCAACATAGCCAGTGTGCTTCTTTGAATCCCACCTACAAGATCAGTTTGAGGTTGAGGGAAAACCACACAGGACACCTCCTTGCTTCTGCAACATGTGTGCAGCAATTCAACCAGATGCCAGCCTGCTATTTCCCACCATCCTGACACAGGAATGAAGGCTGAGCACCCCTCCAAGTTAATGACTCATCACCAGGACCATGGCACTAAGGACACCAAGGCCAAGAGTTCTTATCACAGGGCTCCCTTTAATGGTCATTGATTCTGTCCACCCAAGTACATGGACCAGTGCTAATTCAACCCCAGCAACATGACCATCAGTTACCAAGATCAGTACTCACAGATACAAATTACATTCTATAAACTTGTAGCAAACTGACCCCCAGTGTAGTTCTATTACATTCATATTAGGTCACATGCACTCGGCAAGAAATGGAACCAGGTTGGGACCCCTCTTTTCTCTTGTCATACACACAGGGAAGGACAAGCATGTATACTGGCAAGTTTTAATGCAGACTTTCAAACATCTACTACCTTTTCTTCTTAGTCCTCTATAATGCAAAGACATAAACAAATGTGATTACCACAAAGTGTGACCAATCCTTTTGTGAGGTCAAGGTCAACAGTACTGTGTTTCCAGAGGTTAGATCATGGCCTTGCAAACACACTCAGGTGTGTCAAATGTTCCCAGTTAAAATTCATGTGTGTGTCAAAATAATTTTTTAACAAATAGTTACAAAATGCACTAAAAATAATTTTTTAAATTATTTTTAAATTGTCAAGAAAATGCAAGAATCCTGAGTTACAGATGATTATTTGAAAAAGTATAATCAAAGATTTAGGAAAAAAGATTTAGGAGACAATGGTTGGAGAAGTTTTGAAAAGTGTGGCTGAACCAATAAATCTCCCTTGATTGATAAAGCTGAAAACTCAATGTACATTTGTAAGTCAAGAGATACAGTGAACAGTTTTTAAATGAAGGGGGGAAAACCACAACAATTTTAATTAGAACTTGCTTCTTTCAGGCCCCTATTGCAGGTCTTTCAATACGACCTAAGTGCATATTTCGAAAAGGCTACTTAAGAAAAGCCTGATTCCTCTGGTTATCAGTTCAATTAACATAAAGCGAAAGAATGTTATTAGCATTTTTAAAAAAAATTCCAGTGCATCACCCAGGGTACTTTAGCCAGGATCTGGACTAAGTAATACTCTTTCATGGCCCCCCTACAGCTCCCTGCCTGTTTCCATTAAGGGTCACCCAATGCACTCTCGCCCAAGAGTAAGCTCACGTGGAAACAAAGTATGGCAAGTAAGAGATTGGGACTTGTCACTTAACTTCTTCCTCAACAGAATTTTATGGTTGCACCTTGGGCCTTCAAAGTCTGGTATTCTTCTATAACCTGCTTCCAACTTACCATCTCAGCGTTCAGATCTACTCTTCAACTTCCCTCATATTCTGCCCAATCCCAAACTTTCTTGCTGGTGTCTTTATGCATGTCCTTCTCCCTGAATTCCACTGCCCCATCTTATCAACCAACCACCCAATACACTCTGTAAGGCCAAAACCACTTACTGCATACAGACCCTCCTGAATTGAGTGGCAGAAGTAGAAGCATCTCCTTGTAGGCTGTCCACTAAGCTCTACAGTGCCCCACTCACTACCTCATCTGCTCAGCAGGGCCACCAGCACACAAGGACATCCCCGACCTCTTCAAGATAAAAACAGAGCACCTCCTGCTGCAGTTATTTACGTTTTGGTTTTGCTCCTTTGCCTGACCAGTCTGTACCTTCTTTGTGAATAGAAACCCAAGGCTGTCTCGTCTTGTTGACCACCTGATTACATCAGTAGTGAGCAGCAGGGTCTGGCATACATACAGCATTTTGTTCAATAAATCTACTAAACGAAGCAGTGAATGTGGAATTGGGGTACATGTCTATATGTTCCATGTGTGCCAAGGGACAAGCAGAGAGGGAGCTCCTCTGTGGAATCATGCATTTCTGATCATGTATGAGTATTGCTCTCACTACAGCATAAAACACGTCTCGTCACAGCACACAAATAAGGAAAAACTTACGCAACTCCATGGGGAGCATCCGCCTGTACAAAGACTTCAAAAGTCACTTTGTCATCATCTATAAATCCTTTCTCAGGATCAGTCACTTCCTAAAAAATAAATAATAAGCATATCCAACTTGTATAAGATTACACAAATGCTCACTTCATTCCAAAGTGACAATTACCCTAATGTAATGAACTTTAATAAATTAAAACAGTGCTTTTTCAAACACCCGAATTATGCTTGTACTTTTGCAGCATTTTGGTTTGTTGTGAACAGTGTTATCTGAAAAAGAAGTGGCATCCCAGAGGCACTGGGAGTGCCAGGCCATGGCATGGAAAATGAGGGATGAGGGCACGCTCATTGCAGCAGGGCGGGGGAGGTTTCACAGAACCCATGGTAGGAGACCGAGAAGGACGTTCCTAAGCACGTTTCCACCTCTGCCAAAACAGCCAACATGAACTGACTTGAGAATTCATGAAGCTCCGTGAAGCTACCCTGCACCATGTCTGACTTATGGAAGGATCCCAACTGATATTATTGCTTTTAAAGGAAGTGTATACCTATCAGGAATGATGCTATTGACTAGCTTACAATGTTTGACAAAATGTTGAGACTTTAGTCCTGCTGGCTCATAAATGCTCAGGTAGGAGGAAAACACATAGACAGCTGCCCAACTTATAAAACAAATACTTTGATTCTAAAATGAATGAAGGTGCCCTGGCAGGGTAGCTCAGATGCTTAAGAGTATCACTGCAGTATAACAATGTTGCATGGTCGATATCTAGTCAGGATACATATGAAAATCAACCAATGAGTGTATAAATAAGTATAACAACAAACTGATGACTCTCCCCTGTTCTCTTTCGCTCCAAAATCAATAATAAATGAATAAATTAGTAAATAGCAAGATATGAATAATAAAAGATTTGGGGGAATACAATAATGCTTAGATTATTTAGTCAGTCTAAATTCACTGTTACTTACACTCCAAGCCATAAAATTGGAAAATCCCCAATCATTTTCTTTGTGGAAGAATAAATGACTAATACGACGACTGAATGACTTCTCCTCATCTCTGTAATTTGTAATCTTCAGCACTGCTTGTGCATGACAAGACCATGACCTGTTTAAAGAAAATAATCTAAGCCTTAGGTGAAGTATTTCATTGATGTTTATATATTTTTAAAAACACAGCACACAAAAATTCCCATATTTATCTTGTTTGTGTGTGGGGAGGGTGGGTGGTTGGCAACCATATCTACCTAGAGGGGAGAAAAGGCTAAGTAGGATTGAGGTGCCCTTACCTATTGGTTTAACTCTTGGCTTTATTTATTTTGTAATTTTTCAAAAGTTAAAGTCACATTTTTTTATTGCTATCTTTAAAATACATGTTGAAATTTTATAAGAGACTATAGTTTTGGGGTCAAATTACAATTTTTGGGATAGCATTTTAAAAGAATAGGAAAACAAGAATGATGATAATGCTTTTTTAAAATAGACTTGAAGCTCTAGGTTCTACTAATGCAGGTGTCACTTGTCGGTGTCACTCCTGCCCCTGGTACCTTTACAGGTACTGTCAGTTTCTCAAGAGCGCCTCTGACTCAGGCCTGTGGGCAGGTTTGTAGCAGGGGGCCCCTGACAAACTCTGAGCGTGGTACTGAATCACAACCACAAGTGACAGAACCATAGATGGAGTCCGTCACGTTTGGGGCAGATCACAAAGAGCCTCCGGATCAGTGTTTAAAAACCAAAAGCTATGCCACTTTAAAAGTCCACTGAAAGGTTCACAATGCTGCAAACTCACTGAAACGCCGAAAGAGCAGTGCCAGCGCATCGGGACTTCCTTATGCTGGATGTGAACCACTCACTGTTTTCAAACTACTCTTCAGATTGCGGCTATTAATACTAAAATCTTGCCCAATACTCATCAGATCAGACCATAATTTGACCATAGGAATAAAAATATTAACCTACATACAGTCCTAACTGCACTATAAAATGGGCTTCGCACTTCTTAAAACTTTCCGTAAAAAGAAACATAAAATGGGTAGTACTTCCTGGAACTTTGACAGAATAGCTAGAGCCAAAAGGTTGTGTTCTCTGGGAAACAACCTTCTCTGCGGGCGCCAAAGGGCCACATTCTGCAGGTGGCAGGGAGACAGGGCAGATGCTATTTAGGGAAGTGGCTTGGCGGTAAAAGTGGTCTGGATCCAATGCAAAAATCATCAGCTTGGGGTTTTGCTAAATGTTGTACAGTGGACAATTTTTAATTAAAGGGAAGAAGAGTCAAAAACCTTTGGCTTTATCTGAAAAGATGGACCATGAAGAAACGTCTTAACTTGTAAGGACATTTTGTAATAAAACTCACTGTATAAATGACATGAATAAAAAGATTTTTTTCTTAAATAATTTAAATGGGCTAATACTGTAAATCCCCTGAATGTTTTATTTTGAACTGTCTGAATAACATATAAGAACTGATTGACAAACAATAAGAATGTTGGGCTAAGGAATTTTCCTTAGCTAGAACTTTCTCCTGGCAAAGTTACTGGTTAATAATAATTAAGACTCGTGAACCAATAGTCAGCTAGTCTACTGGTCCCTGATTCCATGTTCATATGAACTTTAGTTTTTTATTTGCAAGAAAAATATGTGTATCTTTTCTAGTTTGGACAAAGTACCTACTGATGAGTTTAAAAGAGGGGAATGTATGGAAGTCTTATTTAAAATCAAAGGCTATGTACAAGCAGTAAGGAAATTCCAAAATTTTTTTCAGAATGCAAAAAGGCTGATCAATTTGGCTTCCAATGTGTTACCCTATCTGTGGATTTGTAATTGCATCATTTAAACTGTCTTACGTGGAATCAGATTCAGCATTGCACTGGAGAAAGAATCCTACGCTTTTTTGGTGTGGTCTGTCTGGATAAAAGCGTGGCATCACCATAATCTTCCATGGTAGATTTCGCACAAAACACGGAGGGCTAAGGACCGACTCACTCAGTCTGCTGAAGCGCTCGACAGTGAACTGAAAGGTTGCCTCGGAGCGCCAACTCGTGTCTGCAAGAAAACAGGTTGACAATCAGAGCCTGTGCTCTAAGAAAAGAGGCCTGAAAGCACGGACAAGCGGGGATGAACTATTCTACACAACCCCAACCTAGCTGCTAAAACCCAGCTCCCTGGGAAAATGATAGTATGAGTTCCAAGTTACTAAATAACCTAAAGCAATACAATGACATACACTTTCAGTGTGAATGAAACCCAAAACTCAGAAGGCTAACAACACACACCTGCCTTCCCTCCTAGATCTACGAGTTCTGTGTGATGAGAACATCTGTTCTACCCTATCTTAATTCCCACATAATCCTCAGTGCATGGAGGGGCTGTGGAGAGAGGGATGAAACATGTAACATTTGTTCAAGAACAGGACTTGTAGATGAAAGGAAAAAAGTTTCAGAAATGGGCTGAGCTGGAGGAGAAAAAATGAAGGGGGCGCTGAACTTGCAATAACAAGGGAGGCCGTCTGGGGGGAGTGGGAAATGACCAAACCCAAGGAAGAGCAGTGCTGTTTACAGCCAAAAACATTGCTATAAAGTTAGCCTTAAAATAAAAGTTAGCGTCTTAGTTCACAATTACTGTGAGACAACAGCCTGGATTCCATATGGAGAATAACTATTAAAATACAAGCAGAAAATGATATTGTTTATTACTCACTGAGACGAAAGGCCAATTTAAGGAATTGGTCTCCTCCAATAAAAAGCAAACTGCTGATATAAGGCCTCTTAGTAGACTTTTAACTAATGTCACACACTTCAGATTTCAACCTTTTACTGGTGGTGCCTATTCATTTAAGTGACACAGGCCCCAGTTAGCTTTGACAAACCCAGCAGTGTACACAGTGATGCTTCTCAGACTCCTCACGTGAAGAAGTAGTCCTTCCAAGGCCACCGTGCCAATCTGTCACTACCAGCACTTCCTAATAAAACATCATAAAACTGCCACAGCAGGATACACATTTCTAAATGCTTTCTCCTGCTTTCTATATCTATCTCTTTGCAGAATGGGAACAGTTCACAGACAGGCAGGAAACCAAGGGCCACCTCTGAGGAGATACAAATTAGTCTATAGAATAGCAGGACTTTGGAAGGCTTTTTAAGAATCAGGTGCTATTTACACATCCATTCCCACAGGCTCCTGAGGTACCAATGAGACTGGAGCCTTAGGGAAAGAAGAGTATGTCAATAGCACACTCCCTTCCTTCATCCTTCAATCTCCAAGGAGATGGCCGAGTGCTCAGGCTGCAGACATCTCAGCATACACAAACTGCTTATTTGTGACTAACTGAATTTGTTCTTAGGAAAACATGTCCATCAGTCCTCATGAGAGGGCAATATTCTTCACCAAAGAAAGAAAATCCCAAAGAATGTGTGACAGTGTTTTTACCTTCTTGAAAAGTATTTCTTCATTCCTAATTTTTTTTTCCTACATGTAACACTGCTTGGCAGTTTACAAAGAAGCCCTCTGAAAGGAGAGCAACTGAGCAGGGCGTGAGTCACAACTAAGAGGTGCATTCTGTATTTGAGCCTCTCCCAGTGACGGGAAACCCTAACCCCTTTGGGGTAAAATAAAAGTCCACTGAGAAGACATGAAACTTGCTCAAGAGAATGGTGCCTAGAATGGTGTAGCAAAAAAACAGGCCACTTTTTCATAGATACACAGATCACATCTGAGTGGCATTTAAATCCTACATGGTAGGCAGGGGAAGCTATTACGTAATTCCCAAATTATAGATGAGGAAACAGAGGCTTGCTGAAATTAAATGGTTCCTCTTATCCAATGTGTTTTACAAAGTGACCACAGGGGGTCCAACAGCCAAATTCTTGAACACTAAGCACAATGATCCTGCCTCTGATTTGTAGAGTGGCATTCTAATGCTGAGCTGAACTCAGACCCCCCTGAAATCAGCCTGTTTGACATTGATGGAAGAAATGAAACATAACCAACTGAAAAATTAAAAAAATAATCTCAGGACATTTGCTGGGATCTAAAGAATTCAGCATAGCAGAACCCCACCTATCTTCTAATTCCCCTAATTTGTTTTCAGATACAGTTCAGCTCTTCAAAGGATTAGACTTTATATAGATAAAAATGCTTTGCTTCTCTTTCACCCCATACTTTATTCAAATTTCTGAATTAATCAAGACCAAACAATGGTGAAGTCAGCATGGCACTGAGTCCACAAGATGGCAGGCCCAGCAGATGCAGAAGCTCAGTGCCCTGAGCCTAGTGAAACCCTGCCTCACAGTACTCAGTTCACACTTGCTGAATTATATACTAGATGTGAGATTCTGCCTCACATTGAAAGCACATCCTTACAGCAGACTTACCACCCCAAAACACGCTAATCACAAAATTTAACATGAGATTTCATATGAATAGAAATCTCACCCATGGCTCGAAACTTTTTATACTAATTGAATGATTGAAAAATTATATCAAATTACAAAAAGGTCAAAACTGAAGAGTCTACAAATAAGAGAAGCTGACCTGAAACCCATCTTTGGCAGATAGAGCTGGCCTGATATCCCCCTATTAGCAAATACAAGAGGCTAATATAAGTCCTTCCCCAAGAAAACCAGGGAAAGATACTCAGGATCCTATGTACTATTTTTGCAAATTCCTCTGTCTATAATCACTTCAAAATTAACAATGTTTTCAAAGGCAGTATACTTGGTATTAGGAAGGATATCCCATATCCCTCAGTATTAATATTTCAACCAAATAGAAAATCTAAACTGTCAAGATGCCACAGAGCACCCGTTTCATTACTCCATGCATCGTTTTATTGTAAATAATAGGATGATGATGGAGCTCATGTTAACTGCTGTCATCATACATTCTCAGCAGAAAACCTGATAACCCGCTTCCTTCCCATCCTGTCCCTGAAGAGCAGCACTGGCTCCTGTAGTCCACAGATACCAATGTCCATTCTTACAACAATCTTATCTTCATAGGGCAAAGGTCAATGTACCAGCTTAGTGTTTGGTTGCATAAAAAAGTGGAGGAAGATTAATACTTTGGTTTTCTGAATCCGAGAGGTTAGCCTGAAGTTCTCCTAAATGGCAGTTAATTTTAATAAATCTCAATTACTCATCTAAATACAAGTCTTTACAAGTCCTAGTTAATTCCCAGAAATTACTTTCACAGGTACCAACAATCTCAATCTAGATCCATCTACATGTGCAGATTCACCTAGCTCTGCAGAGGCTCCATTTGCTCTAAAACTTCCCATGGTCACACCAGGCAAAACAGTAAGAAACTAAAATCAAAGTACAGTGGGTAAGCACAACTAGATACCAATTTTGTTACTTGCCCACAATTCTATGTTAACAGGATTTATAAACGCTCTCTACCTCACTGACATCTTTCTGGTTTGTGCTATTAGCTATTTAACTTTTCTACAGGAAAAATGCCCTATGCCTCTCTGCACAGTTAGGGCATTGATCATTGTACTCCAGTGTTTTTCAGAACAAGATGCTAAAAGAAGATTGGAGAAAGGGGAGTTCTAAAGTCCAGTCTTTTGGAGAAAGATGTTTGGAAACTGGTGACCAAGAAAAGTACTATAGTACAGAAACCTGTTTAACCTAGCACTCCTCAGACTTCCTACATTCACAGCACACTTAGGTTCTGCAAAAGAATGTTTTTGAAATACACATCATGACTACAAAAACGCTGCCCTTAAGTAAGGCTTCCAAGTCCAAGAACAAGAACCACCTCCCTCCCGCCCCCTTTGCTAGCAAATAGAAATGAACTTGGTCGCTTTCTTACTCCTGGGCCTTTCAAAAGGCACCTAAAATCCAAACCAGGGAGAAAGTGCTATTGAAGACCACTCTACTTCCTCCTATACTATGCTTTGTCCACTTGGTAATTCCCAACAGGAGCATCCCCACTTTTAGTTTCTGTGGTTCAGCACCATTATTTGCCACTTATAATTTAGCAAAATTGCCTCTAGAGAGGAAAGCGATTTTACATACATTATGATCTCATAACACTGGTCCACAAATGAGGGAACTATGGCTCCCAAGATATACCAGGCAATATCCAGATATTTGGTTGTCACAACTGGGGCAGGGGCATGGGAGTAGGGTGGGAAACAGGGGTGGAATGACACTGGCATCCTCAAATGCACAGGACAGCCCCCTACAACAAAGAATGGCCCACCCAGAAAGGCAACACAGCCGAGGCTGAGACACCCTGCCCTTTTATCTGCACCTGTGCCTTCTCCCAAGCACTCCACCCAAAAAACACAAAGGGAACTAACTATCAGTATGAAATTGCTCTGGGAACTAGACTGCGAGGGTTGTGACTGGGTTGGACCACCCACTGCTCCACAAGTGGCTACAGTTGGCCCTTAACTCAAACCTGGCACACAAGACCTGACTGCTTTCCCACTACATTATCTGAATCACTTTTGGCATCTCCGGTGTCTAAAATAAAACCAGAAGCCCAGCAACCAAAGAGACCACACCCACACCGTTGCCCTTCATCTAGAGTGGAAAGCACACTCCACAGGTAACAAAGCAGCGGGGTTTAAACCACGCCTCTTTACCTTCCTCAGATATTGCCTCAGCCAGCTGCCAGGGGGTAAACCGCACTGTGAGAGAACTCTCAACTACGGCTGCAGTTTCTCATGGAGGCTGAACTTTTGGCAGGAGGTCTGAACAGCAGTCCTTCTGGTGGTGCAGCCCGTGGCTGATGAGGTTTCTTTCAACTGCCCCGTTACACCCCTGGGAAGGACACAACCCTCATGAGGATTGATGGACATGCTTTTGACAGAACATGGTTTCATATTACACTGCAAGATTCCAGGGGCTGAATAAAGTGACTACTGGCTGCTACCTGCTCATGATTTTGATCTTGCAAATGTACAGGTCACACAATCCAATAAATTACAAGGAAGAAACTGCCTCAAAACAAAGTGATTCCATAGGCACAAAATGGCCATGCATGTACATATGCACATGTTTTTTGCATAGAAGGTATAGACCAAAAGTTAGTGTGGGAGAATGAAGCCCAAAGCTTGGTCAGATTTCATATCTAATGGGAGTGGGGGACAGACAACTGATATACACACTACCAGAAGGCAATGGAAAGCCAAGTTCCAATGTCTAGAAGTATCTGGCTGGAAACAAGAAGGAAAAGGAGAGTAATGTGTATTCATTCTGGGTACTTACAGTGGCAGGAAAATTACACACCTGAGTAAACAACCATCTATTATAAACTCCTATATTTAAACCTCCTCACCTAGGCTGGGGGCAATAGACTCACCTTGAAATTTGTGAGTAATCCTGAAATTCAACAACAAAACAGCCTAATTTTTCCTCAGGTACAACCTCCTTAAAAACTAGCTGCTTATAAGGAACTCAGAAGGTATGTGAGGAAGAAATGTACATCACACCTATTTGTGTTTCTGACAGAATTTTTGCCCAATCAAAGTAGGCAACCCACAGGTACTTACCATCCTCCATATCTTCTTCTGTGTTGTTGTGCCCATCACTCATGGTTACATTCCCATTGATAATAGGATTTTGAGTAATTCTTGGTGGGTCATCAGTATCTCCAGCTTTAAAGAAAACAAAGAAATCCCAAGGTTTTTACCTTCAAGGCTTAGTTTAAACAAACAAAAACATTCAATACGTTTTAAGATTTGAAGGCACTAATAAGTTCCAGCTGTGCCATAATAAATGCACTCTGACCCAAAGAGTACTTACTAGTATATTTACTAAATATAAACTTCGGCTGATACCAAAATGTTAAGTGTACTTGAACACAACTTAATAATCTACTCCACCTGGACTGACATTTATTTTGAAGTAGGTTTCCTACTGATTCAAACTCAAACAATCCTAGAGAAAATACTGAGGATGTACTAAATTTTTACAAGAGTGACATGAGATATTTTTACCACACACATTCTCATTCTCAAAGTGTCTCTGGACAACTACTGTATAATTGGTACTTGGGGGACACAGGGAGTTGGGAAGGAGATCCCTGGGAAGACTCACATGTACAGAATCCAGAAAGGCCTGTAGAACCAATAAACTGGTTTTGTGTTTTTGAATGCTTGCTGAAATCTGGCTGAAAAATATTTAAATAAAATCAAAAGTGTAGATACAAAACTTTTAAGCAATGGCCCTAGCTGCTGTGTGGCCATTGGTGTGGCTCTGACTGTTGGGCATCATCCCACAAATGCAAAGGTTGCAGGTTCAAATACCAGTCAGGGTCCTTGACTGGATGACACCCAGTTGGGGGGAATGCAAGAAGCACTGATTGCAGTTTATCTCACACAATGATATTTTTCTCTCCCTCTCTTTCTCCTTCCCCCACCGCCCAAAAATAAATAAAATCTTTTCTAAAAACTTTTAAAGCACTGATTACCTATCATAAGGTGTAATTCTGTTACATTCTCATGATTTCATTAATTTAAGAAAAATTTTGTTACACTAGCAAAAGTCCATTGTTTTAAAATATGGCATGAAAATTTTAAAATAGTCTCTATTGGCCAATATAGCCATACTTCACATTTTTAGATCCTTTCCTTGTTCCAGATATCAGAACAGCTCGCTGCAGCTAATGCTTGCCCCCATGTTGCCTCTGCACTCAGCTTTCCCTGGGGCATATAACACTTCAAGAAAAATTAAGGAGTCTCAGCTGCAGATGAGAGGTGTGGTCGTAAAAATATCTACATAGGTGTGTTCTTGTCCTCCAATATTTCAGAGCCTTCCCAGCATGAAGTCTGTTTCAGCACCATGGATAGCACACTCGCTCTCAAAATCCCCAACTATTGGGTTCCATCTCAAATATTTTTTAATACAAACTGCTCTTTATCCTTCTTGAGCATCTTGCACACACACACCTTAGAAATCCCTGGAAGCCAAAAAACAGGTATTACCACCAGCATTTAGAAAGACCATGCCCAATCTTAAGTGACAATACAAATTCCCAATTTTTTATTAAATAACAATATATACACTTAGGAATGTATTAAAAGTGATTTTTTAAAATAAACAGATATTTCTTACATTGGTGCCTCAACCACCACATCCTGACAGAGAAACTGGGGGAGGGAAATGAGGCAAGGAGAAATTCTTCTTACTATTGATTAAGTGGCTCAAACTCTAAACTCTAAAGCATATGTGCTTAAAAAGAACTGAAAAACCAGGCACCTTGCTTGACTGAAATGTCTTTCATACACATTTATCTTCATTAATTAAGTACATAAAAACATTATAAAATATTTTATGACCAAAAATCTCTGGCCTATTAAATAAATGGCACACAGCCCAGATGGAATAGTAAGCAACACTTTTTTAAAGAACCTATATGAAAAATACTCTAACTCAAGTTAAAAAAAATTAGGACATTGAGCAGTAAACACCACCTTTGTTATAAAAAAGATAAGTTATGTTGAAGAATATATAAATTGTTATTTCCCTTTAGACTATACATAGCACTACTAAGAGGTTCTATAGAAGCAGAAGAATATTCACCATATCCATACATTCACATCACAGGAATGTACTTTAAATATTGAAATAATTTGCTTGAAGCAAGCCCAGTACTTTTTAATTTAGTTCTTTGGTTTAAATCCATCCAGCCCACTGCAATTTCTTTAAAATAGGGCTTATGATGCAGAAACACAAAAATGACAAATAATCCTCTGTGCACCAAACAAAGCATTGCTCCTAAACTAGCGATGTTATTTAAGTGTAAGCAGTCTAAATTGTGGCAAGTCGTAACTTGCCTGATCCATGATTCTGAAGATTCTGAGATCCAGGTGAATTCAGATGATTGCTGAAAGAAAATACCTTTCAAGGTCTGTTTTGGTGACTTGAGATACAGAGTAGTTTTTCACCAGAAGTTACATTAGTAATAAAAGTCAAGATCAATTCAAGAGATCTTATGGATCGCCATCCACAACACCTTATTGTGTGGAGCAGATAAATGAATAAATTACACCACAGTTTTTCAGCAGTACAATTAACTGCAAGGTGGTGAATGAAGAAAGCCTTATATTTTTGTAAAATGAGAGATCCTATTCTGATGTTAATGAAGACAGGATTTCTCTGCAGTTTGCCCCAGAAGGGAAGGCAGGCAGAATTCTGCAGTTGAATAGGGTCCTCCTGAGCAAAACCCCACATTTACACACCACAGTACACATTTCTGCTGGGCCAACCACTTTGCTCTTTCCCATCCTTCATAAGCATGGAGATGGTGATCAAGGCCAATGGCTGTGAAATGGGACCACATCCCTGGTTGGACCACCAAGTACATGAGAAACCAGAACTGTTAACAACAGGCTCCATGAAACTCCCAAACAACTGCCAATGGGACCTTTGTAAAAAGTTGGACATTCAAGTCTATTCCTGAGGGACTGAATATCCAGTTTTAAAAAGCTCCTCACAAATGAGTTGGATCAACAAGAGGATTAAATTTCATTAAGACAGTGAATCCCCAAACCAGAATTAAATGATGGAAGTGCCCAAAACCCACAAAATGTCTGTACTAGGCTTCCAGAAATATCCTAAAAGATAAACTGCCTTCTTTAGCATCAAAGAAGTGCACAGCTGGTGTATACATGTATTGGTCGCTGTGTATAGTACACCTGGTTCCTGACTTTTATGGACTGCCTAGCTGGAATTTTCCCAGATGTATCACCTCTCATTTGGCCTATATGAGCAACACTGATTTTCTGATAACAATGATCTCAAATGAGACTGGAGACATGTTTGGCAAGTGCCAATAATAATATGGAATGCGTCAAAAAGAGAGAAAATGTCCCTGATAGGACAAATGTCTGTAGGGTGAAAAAAGCAGTTATCCATGTAAAATATACATATGATACTCAAAAAAGTTACAAAAGACTGCTCCCATTGTTTGTGATTGGTAAGCCTTTTGACAATAGACCTTGTGGTAAGTATCCAAAGCATAATTTTAGTATGTATGTAAAAAGGTACAAAATCTTTTTTTAAAGGGTGACTTTAGAAACACACAAGAGACTACCTTGGCTCAGTGCTAATCCTCTATATCGTCCTCTTTTACTGACGATGCCTATGCTTATGTTCTGCTTTTCTCACTGCTGACTTTCGTTTGTGATGTCATAACAGAACTACTAACCCAGAGAACATGACCAACTGGCATGGAAATGATGCAGCACTCAGTAAGCACCTGAATGTCACTCTTGCATGAGCTAACAGACGAAGAACATTATTCCAATTTGTTGGCTTTGACACTGTCTGTTGCTTCATAAAGATTTCTCAAACCTCTCCCAGAAAGGCTGGGGTTGGGGAAACCAAACACCACCACAAAACTTTACAGCCTTCTACAAGGATCCTGGTACACAAAGAGCCAGCCGCGTCTCACATTAACTCCCTACTCAGCCCCCAGGGACATCCTCAAATTTCCAAACTAGTGGCACAACCCAATGACCAGAGCCACAACTCAGTTAACGTTTCAAAATACAGATTACTAACTTAGTCCCCAAATTGGTCGGGCAGAGCCTTTAACTGCACATCTGAATCCCAGCTCTACCAGTTCATGTTGAATCCCAGCTCAGACACCTCTCCCATGCTCTCCCCTCCCCTCACCCTTCTGCTTGGCCTTCCTCCTTTCAGCCCTCTCCCAGCCCCAAACCCATTTTAATGAGCATTACAGAAAACAGAGATTATCAAAATAGAACACTGGTATCTTTCTGCATTTTCATCTCTTAATTGGCAATCCCAAATATATTTCAGGAACAGTTCAGAGATTTCAGTACTGGCTCTGGAAACCCATCAAACAGCGGAAAGCACCCAATCTGAACTCCAGAGTCACCTTCATGTCCAAGTCTCTGATTCCCTGCCATGTCTGCATGGCTCTGCAGCAGAACTACTGGGCTGGGGGGAGGGGGAGGGTTCTCTTGGCCACATCAGAGTCACTGCATGGAATCTCTAGAAGCACTATACCTCAACATGCTTTTTTTAAAGCTCCCACAAAATTAGGGCAAGAAACAGATTTAAGTAACTTCAATCGTTTAAATACCTTCAAAAGGCAAAATATCTGGCTGTGTGGGGTGGCCTTTAGGGCAGAATACTACTGTGTTAGGTCCTCTATCTGTGTATTTAACAAGAACCATTCATTCCTTTCTAAAATGTGTGTATATGGTGGTGTGCATGTATTCCTATTGTAAACCTGTACATTGCAAAAAAGTAGTCTGGAAACTTGTAAAGCACTAAAGCACACCCACAAAACACATTATGTGCTGTTATTAAACTTGATGTAGCTTGATTGTAACATTTAGTTTATAAAGGTTCTTTCTATTTTCCATGGCAAAGTCTTTAACACTTGAAAAATAGAAGTGATGCTTGATTTATTTTTGTAAGTATTTGGAATACTTTAAATAAATGAATGTCCAATACCAGGTTTTTAAAAATGGCATAGTCCAGAATCAGAAAGAAAATGTTAACAGCAGGGGAAAGACCCGGTTATTAGTTCCTTAGTTGATGTAAGTTAACAATGGGAAACCCAGTGACGGGTATATTAGGACAAGCTGCACTAGCTTTCCAACATTCTTTTAAATCTAAA